ATCAATAAACAATATTTCAAATATCAAAATTATATGTAATTGCAATAAACCAAATAATATCTAATAGTAAGCAATTTAAGCCTTTTGACAGTTAATTAACACTATAAACAAAAACATCCCTTACTAAACATACACATAAACAGTCAGTTATGCACACAATATAATAATAAAATCAATCTATCACACAGACATGTGTAAATTAGTTTCTCCAAAAATGTAGATTTCCATATCTATTGTATTATAAAAACAATTAAATAACGACTATTAAGTTTATAACTATTAATAAAGACTATTTTATACTTCAGTAACATCATTTTGGTTTTTGGTTTTTTGAGCAGACTTAAATAAAAAGAAACAGACAAAGAGATTTATTACAGGGCAACCTTTGACTTTATGTGGACCTTGTAAAAGCTGTAAAGTTTGAGTTTGCAAGAGCAGGAATATAAACACAATGAGACTGTAAAGGCGGACTACTGAGTGGATAAGTCTCTGTGTTTTAATGTCACTGACAACATCTGTGGTATCATTTAGCCACTTTCTATATCTATTGTATTATAAAAACAATTAAATAAACAAGACTATTTTAGACTTCAGTAACATCATTTTTGTTTTTGTTTTTTTCAGTAGACTTTTAAATAAAAAGAAACAGACTGGGGGCGCCCAGTTAGCTCAGTTGGTAGAGCTGGCGACCCAGAGGCAGAGTCCTTGCTGCAGCAGCCCAGGCTTCGAATCCGACCTGCAACCCTTTGCTGTGTGTCATCCCCTCTGTCACTGCCCCCATTTCCTGTTTGTTTTCAGCTGTCACTGGATAGTGCAATAAAAGGCCCCCCCAAAAAAGAAACAGACTGAGATTTATTACAGGGCAACCTTTGACTTTATGTGGACCTTGAAAGATCCAAACCTTTAGGCTCTGGTCTTAAGCGGGTCACCTTTATTTTCTAGTAAACTTAAACCTAAGGTACATATGGCTGTTAAATTTGAACTGATTCTGTGTTTGGATCTCTCCGTAGAAAAACGCAGAACTTTTCAAACTAATTTTCTTCTTCTTATTATTTAATTTTTAATTTTGTATGTTCATACATCCCAACGCCACACATGTCTGACCCCCCCAATATAGCGACCATGCAGTGAAATCGAGAATGCGCTCTGCTTTGGTTACTCAGCCGCAGTTATTTCTACCTTCAGTGTCTGTAAATCCCGTATTCCAGACCATTTCAGGACAATTCGATTAGATTTTTCATGTTCTCCACTGGGAACTTATACTTACCTCACCCATATAAATCTGTGTAAAGTATGATTCGGTAGACTTGGATACAGAGTAGTGCTCCTTGACTTTACTGCAGTTTTTTTGCACAGTTTGCTGTATTTTTTTTGCACAATACATTATATGTTGTGTACAGTGTAGACTTGTGTATTGTGAGTTGTACTTTAATAAGTGTTTTAATGTTTTGTGAGGTTTATTGTTATAATTGTCTTTATGTCTTATGGTGAAACTGAAGACAATAAAGTGTTTTATTATTATTATTATTTATTTGTATATTATCAGTTAACCCCATCGTAGTAGATTGTAATTATAGCTGATAGTAGCTAGACAGTACACTGACAACCCCCTCCCTCATATATTTTAGGGATTACAGGGGGCAGATAGAACAACCATAATCAGGTGTTAGCCGATCACACAGAGACGCATAAAAAATGCATTGCCTGCACAAGCATTGTTTTACTATGGTGTGTGCCTGGCATGTGCTCTTGTCTTGTGCAGCGTATTCTGTTTTTATAGCAGTTTTTAGATGGATGTAAGTTCAACCTTTTCAGTCGCATTCTTAGAACCACACTGTAGATTGGTCACAGCTCTATTTCCCATATTTCCACATAATGAATTCAACATAGGGTGGCACAGAGGCGAGCCATCAGTTTCTGTGATCAGGTTCATGACACCCAGTAACTCATCAGTTAAACAGACTCCCTGTATTCCCAACCCTGATTTTTTCCTAGAGAGTCCGCCTAATTATTAACCCAATTATTGTTGACCTTTAGAAATCACAGCAGAAGTTTCCTCGATTGCTGCCTTGATCTTTAACCCCTATAATCACAGTGGAATCCTCTCACTAGAAAAGACATTTCCCAATCGGAGCAGCATCTGTGTCTTCTCCTTTAAGGAATAGTGACTCAGCAATGTTCTCAACCTGTAGAGGTTCTCATCCGACACAGCTTTGTCTGTTGGTTTTGAGCCCCTGTTAACGTTAAGCATCCCATCGTCATTAGTCCTAGTTGTTGTTTGAGCATTCGTCTCCGTTTTTGTTCCTTCCTTGGACCACTTTTGACAGGTACTGACCCTTGCAGACCGGGAACACCCCACAAGAGCTGCAGTTTTGGAGATGACCCAGTCGTCTAGCTATCACAATGTGGCC